GCGTTATGTCTAATGTGGTCGTCAGGCTCTTCGCGTACGCGACCGTCATGTTCGGCCTCTCTGGAGCGACTGTCCTTTGGAGGGCCGACTTTACGCCGTCCTAACCTGCGCCGGCCGACCTCAAGGTCGGCCGACCCCGCGCTGGCCGACCCCGTGTCGGCCGGCCTCGGGTAGGCCGGCCTTGGGGTGCCCGAGCGTCCGACTCTGTGTCTGCCCATGCTTGTCCCCAAGTCGGGATAGGATAATTGTTTAACAACCTCATTATTCCATTGCGAATGTAAACAGAACATTATTGTGGGAAGCCCGGCCCTTTATTGGGGAGGGGATAAGCCATACAAATGAATTTCTACTGGTAAAACTTCAGCAAGTGCTCCGAGTTCCACACCCTGTCTACCACCTTGCCCGATATGGTCTTTAGCTTGTAGCTGCTCGGTCGTACTATGGCTTCAATCACATATGGACCTTCCCATTTCTTTGCAAATTTGCCTCCGTCTTGGGGTCGGCTCGCCTCCCTCCTCCGGAGGACGTAGTCGCCAACCTGGAAGTAGCGGGGTTGGACTCGGTTGTCGTGGTAAGCTTTTGTTTGACGCTGGTAATTTTCTGCCCGGACCATGGCCTCCTCCCTTCTGTCGTCGATGAGGTGGAGGTCGGCGGCGTGGTGTTCCTCATTGAGGTCGGGGTCGTATACTGCAACCCGATAGGATAGTATCACAGCTTCGGTGGGGGCCCGTGCTTCGAATCCGTATGCCAGCGCAAATGGTGCCTCCCCAGTGGCTCTTCTTGGGGTGGTGCGGTATGCCCATAGGGCGGTGTCCAGCTCCTCCACCCATGTTCCTCCGGCTGCGTCCAGGTTCTTTTTGATGCCGTCGACTATAGTTCTGTTGGCGTTCTCCACCTGCCCGTTTTCCTGTGGGTACGCCACCGCCACGCGGGTGTGTTTTATGTACCATTGGTCGCAGAATGCCTTAAACTCTTTGCTTTCGAACTGGCGCCCGTTGTCGGAGATGATTTGCATGGGGACTCCGAAGCGGTACAAAATGTTCCTCCGTATGAACTCCATGCACCGGGTGCTCGTGATGGTGGCGAGGGGCTCCGCCTCAACCCACTTTGTAAAATAGTCTATGGCGACTATTATGTACTTCCTGTTCACAGACCCCATGGGTAGGGCCCAGACGATGTCGATCCCCCACCGTGAGAACGGGATCACCGTGCTGATAGGCGTGTAGCTGGTTGCTGGCCGTCCCGGCTCTGCGTGAAAGTGCTGGCAGGTCGGGCACCCCCGGGCGTACTCCGCGCATTCCTTGGCCATTTGTGGCCAAAAGTACCCCTGCAATAGGGCCCTCCTCGCCATGGCAAAGGCTCCTTGGTGTGCAGCGCATGTGCCTTCATGTATCTCCTCTTTGACGGACTTGGCTTCGTCCGGGTATAGGCATCGGAGGAGGGCGCCGTTATAGGACCTTTTGTAAAGGGTGTCTCCAAGGAGGACGTATGTTGGTGATCTTTTCTTGACCGCCTTGGCGGCTGCCTCGTCTGCTGGCAGGGTACCTGCTCTCTTATACTCAATGAGGTGGTCCAACCAGCATGGGGACCGTGCCTGTATGGGGAGAACGGGGTAGGCCTCCAGGCTAGACCTCTGGAGGTCTTCAATCCGCGCTATCTTGGAGACATGCTCCGGGGTGCCAAGGCCGAGCTTGGAGAGCAAGTCCGCGTCCCCGTTTTGACTTTGGGGTACCTGCAAAATTTCGTAGAGGGTCAATTGGCCCAGGACCTGGAGTACCACGTCGCGGTATCTCCTCATCCTCTCCTCGTTGGCCTCGAATTCACCATTCACCTGTCCGACCACCAGTCGGGAGTTGCACCGCACCCTTATTTTGGAGGCCCTCAGACCCAATGCCAGCCTGAGGCCACCCAGTAGCGCCTCGTATTCGGCCTCATTGTTGGAGAGCTTGAAGTGGAAACGAAGGGCGTAGTAGGCCCGGAACCCCTCCGGGGTTACGAGGACCACCCCTCCGCCACACCCTTTGGGGCCGGACGAGCCGTCCGTGACAGGGTCCACCAATCTTCCTCATCGCTCCGGGCTAGTTCGGCGGCCTCGCGAGCGGTGCACTCGACTATGAAGTCGGCGAGCGCCTGCCGCTTGGTCCACTAATTTCTTAAAAAATGCTTATTTTGTTCTTAATTTTAGTTATTTTTTTAATGTATTTAGATGGTTTAAACAATCTTTTGAACACTTCTACAACCACTTACGTAAATAGTTTGTAAGAAATAACTATGGAAACCTTATGTTTTATTACTAAATTTTTTAATTTTTTAATTTTTAATTTTATTTTTAATTAGAAATTTTTTTAAAAAAAATTCGCCCCTTGGCGCTTAGGGGCGCCTAACGTTTTTTGCAACATTGAATTATATTTTATTATTATAGCTCTATCTCTATCTTTATATATATTAGAGCATAATGAAGTATGGACAAAAATTTATTGTGTCCAAATTTATTTGTAAAGTTTTATATTTAATATAATTTGTGTATATATTCATTTAAACCTCAATTATAATTAATTTGACTCCACATATATAAAGAGGAGAAATTAGATATAAAATAAATATAATTTTTACATAAATAATCGTTTTCAAATGAATAAATTTTTTGTGGAGATTTTCGAAAAATATCCCCAGTTATTTTATTTACAAGTTTAATTTAAATACGTTAGTTATATAATTAAAGTAGTTATTTCAAATTCAAATTTCTTTCAAACAAAAAATTCAAATTCAAATTCAAATAATAATACAAGTAACAATAAACTTTAGAATCAACATAATAATAGCATAATTAAAGTTTTAAAAATATTAAATATTGTGTATAGTTATACTTACATTTTTAATCAAACTAATTTTGAACTTTAAGAACTCAAGTACGTTTTTCTGTTTCCACAACCATTACTTTCTTTGCTAATTCAGAAGATGTCAAAAATAATAAAAATTTTTCTGTTTCCACAACCATTACTTTCTTTGCTAATTCAGAAGATGTCAAAAATTTAATTGATAAATTTGTTAAATTAATAATAATTCGTGCATTGCACAGGATAATTATTAGTTATACATAATTTCTGATTACCCCTTAAATCTAATTAACTCATTGATCTCCGCTTTCTAGTCTAATTTGACGTTGAGTTTAAGCCCCATTCCCCTATCGATCAACATTTTTTCTTTTTTAAAAGATAAAATCACAGACTTACGTAGGCATTTATTACATTATTATAATATGTTTAAGTTAACGTGGTTTTAGCTTGGGGGCTGGTGGTTTCGGGTTCAACACTTCGACTCTGGATTTTAACAGACTGGTTCCGGATTATAAAACAAATGCACGCCCAGTGGGACTCGAACCCACAATCGCTTGATTAGAAGTCAAGCGCCTTATCCATTAGGCCATGGGCGCTTGTTACTAAATGTGGCATATTAATTTACTTGTAGTGAAATAGAAATTAGAGTTCTGACCCAAACCACCTAAAGGTTAATTTATCATAAGTGTTAATTTTACTTTTGGTCCCATGACTATTGGAGTCTTATTAATTTCAATTCATGACTTTTAAACTGTCAATTTAGTATTTAAATTATTTAACTTTTATCAATTTTCGTCACTCCAGTCAAAACTCACTAAAAAAATATTGATAAGTAAAATAAAAAGGATATTTTAATATTTTTTTTAATTCTCTTTCTTTTCTTTCTTCCCCATTGGGTTCTTCTCCATTGCTTTTTTTTTTTTTTTTTCTTTTCTTTCTTCTCCATTGCTCTTTTCTTTTTTTATTTTATTTTTATTTTTTCATTCGACACGATTTGTTAAATGGAAATACAATCCTAGAAATATACACATCTCTATACACGAATGAAAAAAAATAAAAAGCAATGGAGATGCTCGTGGAGAAGAAAGAAAAGAGAAGCAATGGAGAAGAAAGAAAAATACCCTCATTATTTTGTTTATTACTATTTTTTTGATAAATTTTGTCTGATAATTTTACCATAGTGACAAAAATTGACAAAAAGTGAATAATTAAGGTACTAAAATTGATAATTTTGAAAGTCGTGAATTTAAATGAACAATACCTCAATAGTCATAAGACCAAAAGTGAAATTAATTCTTTATCATAAGACCCTAGATAAGAGCAGAATATTTAGCACTTTGGGAGAAGAATATTTAGCACTTGCCTATATAGACAACTCAGTTGGTTGTAGAGGTGAAATTTAACAAAAGAAACCAATGAATCGAGTCTCACCAGCGACAGTATAGGAGAAATCTCTCAAAACTCTAGCCTCCATCGGTCAATTGAGTCACCATAATTTATCTCTTCACAAATTATCGAATCGGAGTATAGAAGGCCTGAGGTGGGTAATTACACCTTTTTGTCACAAGAATATTTAGCACCCTAATGATGATTATTTGGCGGTGATGGTTCATGAGGAAGGCTAGCTTCTCCAAGTAGGTAATTACACATTTTTGTCACAAGAATATTTAGCACCCTAATGATGATTATTTGGCGGTGATGGTTGATGACGAAGGCTAGCTTCCCCAATGATCTATGATCAATCATTCTAGCTACGACATCACAATGTTCACTACATTGTTGTTAGAGTTAATACCCATTTTGATCCATCAACTATTAGGTGACCTAATAGTCGAGGGACTAAAATGAGTATTAACTGTTATTATTATTTTGTATAAAGGTATTTTTGTATTTAAAACCTATTCCTTTAACCAATCAAATATTGATATATAATTCATAAAGTCTATTATTTCAACAAACTAAATAATAGATTCTTATTCTATTATTACCTATTCCATTTTTTGTAGAATAATATTTATATTCCTTCCAAATTCATTCCGTGAACCAAGCATACTATGATTGAATATTGTGCAAAGATCATTTGTGGGCCGATCATATGGGTGGGCCGTAATGAACCACTTTCGTTACGGGCTTTCTCATAACGGATCACATTTCCGGTTCCGGGGCAGTTATTTGTTACGGATATCCCACTACAAAACCCTCGCTCGGTCCTAGCCTCCTTGACCCGTCCACTTCCATCGGAGCTCTTGCAGCGGCGCCGCCTCTAGGAGAAGGTCTGAAACCTCTTCTTATCTGTTTAGATTTCGTTACATATTTACGTATATGCTTGAGTGTTTCTATAAATGTATGTGTTTGATCTTTGATTATCATCTTGTAGCCTTTTCTCCATATTTTAGCTAATAGCGACATGTAGGTCGGATTGTTGTCCTTCGAAAATTGATTTCATTTCATTTTCTTGCGATCTTAGTTTGATTGGTGTACCCGAACATTATTGTTGAAAGGATGATTTAGGTTTGTGCAAAAAGGCTGGTCCTTTTTTGAAATAATGTAGAAAAAAATTACGGAATATCAATTAGGTGCATTGATTTCTATAGTAGAAATCAGCTCTCAATTTTTCGTTAAAATTGGGATAACAATTGAAATTAGGTTTAGACATAAGCCTGGCATTTGTTTCTGTGTATATATTCAAAGTAATATGTAAAACCCTTGAAGGTCTTTTAGTAGTTTTATTTTTCCCAGTTTTATTCAATAAATAGTGGAAAAGGAAAGCATGTTTGTCTCTGTGTGATGGATATCTCAAATTTCTAGGGGATATTAACCATATAGGCTACATGAGTTGCTTTAATATGTGTTCTTTTGTCATCAGTCATTCTGTGCCTTCTTCCAAGCCCATCTGATTGGACTTCAGTCTTGTTCTTTCAACTAGAACTACTTTCTCCAGTTTCTTGTTTTGTAAAGTTTGAACGCACTTGACCCACATTTGTTATTTTTGCTCATGGCACTTTTAATTTGTAGAAACTATGGCTGTTCCATTGCTGAACAAGAAGATTGTGAAGAAGCGTGTCAAGAAGTTTAAGAGGCCACAGAGTGACCGTTACATCTCCGTGAAGGTATATTACTTGCTTTCTTGCCTTATGTTTTCTGGTTGCTGTGTGATTGGTAAATATTGTAGATTATTTTTTATCCTGTAGCTTTATTGCATTTTGATAGGTTATTCAAATACTAATCTTATTTTTCTATCTCTATTTTCTGTGGGAGGGTGGAGGGGTTGTCATTGTCAACCAAGCCAACTTATTCACAAATCACAATGCAGTTAATTGTCCATATAGTCATCCTCTAGAGTTTCTCAGTGCAGGTTTTCCAAATGAATGGACCTTTAGATTTGAGGAGTAGAACACTTAATAAATGGATGGACAGTGACTATACAAATCTTTTTTGACACTGTGTGCTAATGCTTGTCATTGGATTGACATTTTTTTTATGGCAGGAAAACTGGCGTAGACCCAAGGGTATTGACTCCCGTGTGAGGAGGAAGTTCAAAGGATGCACTTTGATGCCTAACATTGGCTATGGCTCAGACAAGAAAACCCGCCATTATCTGCCTAACGGGTTCAAGAAATTCGTTGTGCACAATGTTCAAGAGTTGGAAGTATTGATGATGCATAATAGGTCTATTATTACCACCGCCATTTTACTCGCTCCCTTTTACCTTGCTCTGAAATTTTTATCTCACTCCTTGATTTATTTTCAGGACTTACTGTGCTGAGATTGCGCACAATGTTTCAACCAAGAAACGGAAGGAAATTGTTGAGCGTGCAGCCCAGTTAGATGTTGTCGTGACCAACAAATTGGCCAGGTTGCGCAGCCAGGAAGACGAGTGATCACCTTAGCAAATACTTGGACATTTTCTTCTTCTGTAAAACTTCCTTACATCAGGTGGTCTAGTAGTTGGAACTAGAAAAATTTTCCAGTGAAGTTTTCCTTGGATTTTTAATCTTATATTGGATGGTATGGCCATGCTATTTCGTTTTAGTTTTTAACGAGTTCTTTATATTATCCGTCCAACACGCTGCTCAAATGCATCACTCTACGTGTTTTGTGTGAGAAAACAGTTTTGTTGCCTTGTAATGGTGTTAATAGATTGGGCGGTCTAACTTTTTTTTTTTTTACCCTTTTATTATACAAATGCAGCAAATGATGATTAATTTTAAATGTAATTAGTCATTGCATTTAATATAAAATAATAGAAATTAAATGGTTGAAAAAGGAAAATTTTTACGATGGCAATGGGGCGGGGCGGGGGCGGGGAGTATACTCCCCGTCCCCGACCCCGTCCCCATCCCCGGCGGGGATTTGAAAATAGTCCCCATCCCCGCCCCCATGGGAAATTAGGCGGGGACCGGGATTCCCCATCCCCGATCAATTCTTAGTCAAAATTTTAAGTTATTATAATTTTTAATTTTAAAAACTAAACTTGTGATTTTAAAAAAACTAACATTATATATATATATATATATATATATATATATATATATATATATATATATATATATTGTAAGGATAATGGAGCGAATATAAAATACTGAATACGGGGCATAAGGGAGTAAATATATACTAATATTGTTTGTTAATGGTGCAGTTATAATTCTATATTAGACTAACGGTGAATTAACGGAAAAGTTAAATGGATAATCATATAATTAAGGATAAATTAGAAAAGGATATGAACCATAAATTAGAAAATCTTAAAAGAAAAAAATTAAAACCTGAACAATATGGACCATTCATTTGATTTAATAATTTGGCGGTCATTTTTTCTACCCAATGTTAATAATTAAATAAATTCGCTGGTCAAATCCGCTAACGCTAACCGCTACTGCTGATTGTCAAATAAGGACATTGCGAGGTAGTTCTCACTTCAATTTGTTGTGTGATTTGAATACTCTCTTTGTCACAAATCTCTCAAGTAGTTAATATGGTTGGCTTTATTAATTATATTTTTTAATCAATTGATTATATTCAAATGTATGGCTCAGATTGATTAAAAGATTGATCAGATTTAAATTTTATACTAAAATTTCCTAAAATACCCACACATCGTTACTAATTCCGTTAAAATTTTAAGAATTGCCGTTAGTTCACCGTTAACTTACTCATTGATTTCAATAAAAAAAAAAAAGGTCTTAGGTTCGAACCTCATCCCAATCAAAGTTGGCATAATTAGTACTCTTTTTTACTCTTATTAAATTATATAAATAATAATTTAGTAGTTATAACGAAAAATAATACATATGCATTTCTTTAATTTAGAATTATGTGTCGACAATGTCTTTATTCAAAAAAAAATAAAAATTATTCATTATCAATAAATTAAATAAGAGAAATAATTTTATTAGTTATATTGTCTGTATTTTTCTTCAATATAAAAATTCTTTATATTCAAATTTATTAATTGATTATATTCGCTACATTATCCTTACAATGTCTTTATTCAGTGAAAAAAAATTATTAATTATCAATAAATTAATTAAAAGAAATATTTTCATTAGTTATATTGTCTTTATTTTTCTCAAATGTAAAAATTTTTACATTCAAATTTATTAATTGATTATATTCGCTACATTGTCCTTTATTTTTCTCAAATGTAAAAATTTTTACATTCAAATCTTTTTTGTGCACTATTTTTAATTAAATACCAAAGTTATAATACAAAATAATCCTATATATTTATTTACCAAGTATTTTATTAATACCATGAAAAAATTAAAAAAATATAATTAATAAAGTCAATCATATTAACTACTTGAGTGATTTGTTGACAAAGAGAATATTCAAATCACACAACAAATTGAAATGAGAACTACCTCGCAATGTCCTTGTTTGACAATCAGCAGCTAGCGGTTAGCGTAAGCGGATTATATTAGCGAATTTGACCAACCAATTTATTTAATTATTAACATTGGGTAGAAAAAATGACCGCCAAATTATTAAATCAAATGAATGGTTCATATTGTTCAGGTTTTAATTTTTTTCTTTTAAGATTTTATAATTTATCCTTAATTATATGATTATCCATTTAACTTTTCCGTTAATTCACCGTTAGTCTAATTCTAATATTAAAGTCTAATATAGAATTATAACTACACCATTAATCTAATTCTAATATTAAAGCTAAGTCTTAATAGAACTTAACCACAAATCCTAATGTCGAAATCTCCTCAAACAATGTATATATTTAATATTTTATGCCCTAATTTTTATTTGTTTTCCTTTATGTCCCGTATTTGGTTTCAACCATACCTATACAATTATTTTATTGACAATTATAATCAATCTTGACTATATTATCTTGCATTTGTAAAATTAGAATTACCTATTTAACCCGCACGGGCTTAGCTCAATGGTTTAGTGGGTAGTATTTGGGAGAAGAGACCAAGGTTTGAACCTCGGCAGCGGCAGTGCGGGAATTATGTCCAAAGTGGGCAGATTCCTTGTGCGTATTAGCATTTGGCCCTGTCTGCTGAACCATTGAGTCACCGTGATTTACAACTTCCTACAATGCTCTGTCGGGTCGGAGTGTGGGGGGCCCTTGGGATTGGGGACTCAACCTTTGGGAGAAGAATTACCTATTTAAATACGCAAATTCAACCTTCAATTATCTATGCATGAACAATTTCAATATAATCCTGCCTTAATATACTTTAAAGTACTTATTTAAAAAAAAATGCATTGGGCATCATCCCAATCGCGCAATGCGCGTAAAAAACTAGTATATATATATATATATATATATATATATATATATATATATATATATATATATATATATATATATATATATATATATATATATAAATTAATTTATTATTATTATTTTTAATTATAATAATTAATCGGGGTCCCTCCCCGCCCCGTCCCCGTCCCCGCCGGGGAATTTCAAAAACTCCCCATCCCCGTCCCCGATCCCCGAAATTTTTCTCCGTCCCCGTCCCTATCCCCTACGCGGACGGGGCACATTGCCATCCCTACTTTTGGTTCTTGTTAATTGGAGTTCACGGGTTAATTGGTCTTTTATTCAAGTGTCGAACCCAATAATAACCAAGTGTCAAACCCCAATCATTATTGTGTGGATTATGGTCACATAAGCTGTGTAAATCATATTTTATATGAAGACTCATGGTATTGGTATAATGACCTGTGTTAGTAGTGTTATATTATTAGTATAATTATATGTAACATTATCCTTGTACATGTAGAATTGATTTAGTCCTGTAACCTACAGCTATTATGTAGGGTTAGTTAGATAGGCTTTCTATCTCTTTTGTATTTCTGTAACAGTCTGAGTTTGAATCAACGTAAATCATTCACTCATCTGGTATCAGCTAGTCAGGTGGTCCTTTCTCTCTCCTCTTCTCGTGCCATGTCGACGAATTCTAGTGAAAGGACTGTTACCGCCGCCACCCTATCTTCTCCGGCCACCCCAAACACTTTGTCCACGGCAAATCATTTGTGTCAATGAAACTCACCACCAAAAACTACCTCTTCTGGCGTACCCAATTGGTACCTTTCCTGCGAGGACAGGGTCTGCTCGGGTTTGTTACCGGCGATACCCCGTGTCCTCCAGCGACCGTGACTACCCCGGCGACCAGTGAGGCTGGTTCAAGAGGCACGCCGTCTGTCACCACACCGAATCCGGCTCACGCTTTGTGGGAGCAGCAGGATCAATCGATCCTGTCCTTGTTGATATCCTCCATGTCCGAATACCTCGGCAGAGCTCAATTGCTCGTGGAGGACTTGGCCCTCGCCGGCCGGGCCGTGTCCTTGGATGAACAGAACTTATATGTCTTCCGTGGACTCAGGCCGGAGTTTCAATCCATGGTGTTGTCGCTTGCTGCATCGGGTGCGCCAGTCTCCATTCCTCAACTGTCAGATTTCCTTCAGGCCCAAGAATTCATCTGGGCGGATGAATTCTCTGCATCGGCTGGCGTTCCAGCAGGCGGTGCTCACATGGTGCTGGCAGCCGGCCGTGGTCATAAGCACAACACTGGTGGTCCTAGACATGGGGGTTCCGGTCAAGGACGAGGCCGCGGCGGTGGACGTGGCCGCGACGGCAACGGCAGAGGACGCGGTGGTGTTCCCCGCTGCCAGATATGCCGCTCCCAGGGGCATACGGCGGTATATTGCTATCGGCGTTACACCAGACAGCCGCCAGAGCAGGTGCATGCGGCGGTTTCCGACGATGAAGGCGCGGTCACGACCGACTCATGGTTCCCGGATACCGGGGCCTCTTCGCACGCCACGCCCGATCCAACAATGATGACCCATTCCGAGCCATATTCAAGCGGTGATGTGTTGCGTGTGGGGAACGGTTCAGGTTTGGGTATTTCTAATATTGGCCATGCATCGTTAAATTCCGCGTCTAGGTCTTTACAATTACACAATATTCTTCATGTGCCTGATTTGTCATTACCGTTATTGTCTGTTAATCGGTTCACTATTGACAATAATGTATTTTTTCACCGTGATCATTTTCTTGTGAAGGACTGTCAAACCAAGGCGGTGCTCCTTAGGGGTCCTACCGCGGGGGGCCTATATCAGCTGTCACTGTCTCGGTCACCTGTTGCGTTAATAACCGCTCGTGCTACGTCAGATGCTTGGCATCGTAGGCTTGGACATCCACATGAGCAGGCCCAAATTCGTGTCTTACAAAAGTGTCCGGTCACTCCAACAAAATCAAGTGTGCCGCGGTTGTGTTCGTCGTGTCAACTCGGGAAATCGTCTCGTTTCCCATTAGATAGGGTTATTTCCCGTAGTAATAGTGTACTCGACTTATTATATACTGATATTTGGGGACCGACACCCGTTGTTTCTACCGGGGGTTTTAGATATTTCGTTTTGTTTGTAGATGATCATTCTCGGTTTTGCTGGTTTTACCCTTTGCGGTTAAAATAAGACATTTATAAAACTTTTGAGTCTTTTCGAGTCATGGTAGAACGCCAATTCTCGCGTTCTATCAAGTCTTTCCAGTCTGATCTGGGGGGCGAATACCGCTGTTTACATACGATTTTTCAATCTCTTGGCATCGTGCATAGGCAGTCTTGCGCCTATACGCATGAGCAGAACGGGCAAGTAGAGCGCCGGAACAGACATATCGTTGAAACCGGGCAAGCCCTGCTCGCAGAGAGCTCAGTTCCTTTGAAATATTGGGACTGTGCTTTTGAAACTGCTTCCTATCTTATTAATTGTCTACCCTCATCTGCACTAAATTACGTCAGTCCCTATGAGTCTATCTACAACAAAACACCACCATACACATTCTTCCGTGTCTTTGGGTGTAGGTGTTACCCCTATCTACGGCCCTATAATTGCCATAAGATAGAGTACCGCTCTGCACCCTGCATTTTCCTAGGTTACCCTACGTCATATAGAGGTTATCGATGCATGGACCTAATATCAGGAAAAACCTTCATCTGTTGCCATGTTCGGTTTAATGAAAGTATCTTTCCCTATGCAACAGGTACACAAGACGAGGTGGCCTCACATGGCCCGTGTAATACTACGCCATGGGCATTTGGTCCCTTGATACCGTGTGGGCAGTCCACGGTGCCTCTGGATGAACCACCCTTGGCAGTTCATGTACCGCTCTTGCCCATCCAAGATCAGCCAGGAGCTGCCACAGTTCCGTGTCATGGACCCCGGGCTCGGAAACGGGTCCGGGTACAACCTTAAGAACGGGGACATGTTATGCGCCTCCGTCATATAACACGGGGAACGGATGAGCCCTTTCATGCCCTCACGGCCTCCGTAGATCCAACGTGTTACAGTCAGGCGGTTGGTCATCCTCAATGGCGGGATGCCATGGACCAGGAGTTCAACGCACTCCTGCATAACAATACCTGGTGTCTCACTCCAGCTAAACCTGGTATGAATGTGGTTGGGTGTAAATGGGTATACCGTACTAAACGGAAGGCTGATGGTACGATTGAACGTCACAAGGCAAGCTTAGTTGCCAAAGGGTTCAATCAAGTAGCAGGCGAGGACTTCTTTGAGACGTTTAGTCCGGTTGTCAAACCGACAACGGTCCGCATCTTGCTCTCTTTTGCCGTGTCCCGTGGGTGGACTCTGTGTTAGCTTGATGTTCATAATACGTTCTTAAATAACCATCTTACAGAAACCGTGTATATGCGTCAGCCTCCCGGTTATGAAGATCCAGTACATCTTGATTATGTATGTCATCTCCAGCGGTCCTTGTATGGACTCAAACAAGCCCCACGAGCCTGGTTTAATCGGCTCCATGACTATCTCCTGGCAACGGGTTTTGTGGCCTCTAAAACTGATGTGTCTCTATTTTATTACACGTTAAATAACTCACGTATCTATCTCCTGGTGTATGTAGACAACATTATCATGATGGGCAATGACTCAAATCTCCTCAACGAACTACTCCGCCGCCTCTCGTCTACTTTCAAAATTTGAGACTTGGGAGCCCCTACGTTCTTCCTCGGTATCGAGACTCTCCCGCTCGATGGTGGCATATTACTTTCTCAACGCCGTTACATGGATGATATTCTTACCCGCGCTAGTATGTCGGATTGCAAGTCTCTATCCACTCCAGCGGCAGTAACAAAGGCCGCGTCACCGACTACGGATTCGTATGAGAATCCCACTCAGTATCGTCGGTTGGCTGGGGCGCTACAGTATCTCACTATCACTCGCCTTGATCTCTCCTACGCTGTCAACAGGCTCTGCCAGTTCATGCACACTCCCACTGATGAGCACTGGGCCATGCTCAAGCGAGTTCTCCGTTATGTGAAGGGTACTCTCACATACGGCTTGCGGCTGTCTACATCGTCTTCCTCTGATGTCCATGCCTATTCGGATTCTAACTGGGCCGGGTGTCTTGTGGATAGGAAGTCGACCAGTGGGTATGCGGTCTTTCTTGGCTCCAACCTCGTTTCTTGGGTTTCTCGCAAGCAACGGACTGTGGCTAGGTCGTTTACTGAGGGAATACAAGGGCCTGGCCGATGTCGCCGCTGAAGTCACTTGGGTTATGTCACTTCTTCGGGAACTTGGACTACACTCGGGTAACCCTGCGACGTTATGGTGCGACAACTTAGGGGCTACTTACATGTGTGCCAACCATGTGTTTCATGCCAGGACCAAGCATGTCGAGATTGACTACCATTTTGTGAAGGATAAGGTCTCGACGGGAGAGTTCTTAGTCAACTTCGTGTCCACGAAGGACCAGCTTGCCGACATCTTCACCAAACCGCTGGCTTCTGCTCGCTTCAGCTCTTTGAGGGACAAGCTCAATGTTGTGTCTCCACCACCTTCAGCTTGAGGGTGTGTGTTAGTAGTGTTACATTATTAGTATAATTATATGTAACATTATCCTGGTACATGTAGAGTTGATTTAGTCCTGTAACCTACAACTATTATGTAGGGTTAGTTAGATAGGCTTTCTATCTCTTTTGTATCTCTGTAACAGTTTGAGTTTGAATCAATGTAAATCATTCCACTCGTCACCTGAAGGGATGTTACAGGTAAAAGTGCATATAGGACCTTAATGGGAGATTGTCGGTTTCAAGAGTTGCTCTAAGTTGTATAGAAACTAAAAACTCCCCCCAATCACCACCAATTTATTGAGCAAGAGAGTGGACATTTATCCTTCATGCCCTATGTGTTCTTCCCAACACGAAGATGTAGTGGTGCATTCCCTCCTTTTATGTGATTATTCACAATGTGTATGGCGTGCAGTGAGGCATCTTTGCCTACCCTTAACATGGAGTTTTCCTCATTTTTTGACTGGTTGGAAAATACCTTCGATGTGCTGGCACTGGCAGCGGAGGATATCCTGGTAGTGGTGGCTGTCTTATATGCAATCTGGAGGGCAAAGAATATGGCAGCGTGGGGTGCAACTCTTCCAATTCCACGAGTTGTGTGCTTCTCGGCCAATGCAGCGTTGCAGAACTGGAAAAATGCCACTACACATTGCAGACATCAGCCGCGGCATCTTTGGAGACTGACTCGTGTGATCGAACCTCATGACTCATGAGGCGACACCGACGGGCCTATCTTGCTTCTTTGACGCAGCCTTCGACCATCACACCGACAATGCCGCAGCAAATGGGGTGATTCTCCGATCCTCACGCGGCTGGCGGGTTTGTAGTAGCTACCAATGGTGGTCTTCCTCAATGTTTAATTAAATCCTCCAATGGCCGAAATACTTGCTTGTAAGGAAGCTCTGTCATGGTCTAGGATTCGTGGCGTCACCAATGTTGGCTTGTTTAGTGACTGTGCTGTTCTTCGTCACAATCTCACGGTGCAACCGAACAATATTAGATCTTATGTTGGTTTTGCTTCCACGGACTGTGGGTATATTATGAGTTTGTTTAGTTTTTGCCCATTTCTTTATATTCCTAGAACATTCTTAATTAGCCAAGGAAGCCTCTACATATGCTACATCTTTATATTGGGACTTTGTCTTCCGGTTTCATTTAGGCTCTTATGCCTAAATCTATGATTGATATTTTACTTTAAAAAATGACATTTTATGTTTCGAATTATTAGAATTGGAAAATATTTCATGTTTACCTCTCTTTCAATGGAATTGCTTTAATTGAGAGAATTCAAAGATATAATATCACTTTTCGTCCTTTTTATGAATTTTTGAACCAAAGATTACCTAAAGTAGACATGTGCTTGGGCGAAAGAAATAAAAGTGGTACAATATTCAAATTTCATATACTAATAATATATAACAAAAAAAAGTGATAATTGATGACTATTTGTGAAAATGCCACAAACATCGAAGTATAAAAGTGGAGAAAATTCTTTTTAGAAAATATTATCTCGAATCAATTGTTGTATCTATTATTTTATTAATATTGTGACGTGGTATATTTCAATTCACCAAAACTAATATTATCTTCTTTCTGACATTTTTATGGACTTTTGTTCCTCTTTCCCTTTCATATGTTTTTCTTTAGACTTTTGTAGAGTGACTTATCCATTGAATAATGGACCACACCTCATTTTCCCAATCCTTATACTATGGACCAAGGTGACATTGCACTGTGAATCTTAGTGCATGTTTATATGTCTTATATTATGAATTTTTGTATCTTATTTTATGAAATTTTATACCTTAAGAGTATAAATTCTGTATTTGAAATAAATTAGTAATTGTGTCTTGTATTATGAAATTCCGTGTTTTGTATTATGAAATCTGTGCTTATGAACACAAATTATGTACTTAAATCATATTTGAAAAATAAGTAAATATATAACATATGTATGTGTCTTCTGTTGTGATTTTTGTGTCTTGTGTTACAAAATTATGTACCTTGGGAGTATGAATTCTGTATCTCATCGTTTCAATCCAGAGTCCATAATACTATGTAGACCCTGATCCATGATATAAATTACCTCATTTTAGCTGTCATTTCTTTATAGACATTTCTTTCTTCTTTCCCTTTCATATTTTTTCTTTAGACTTTTCTATAGTGAATTATCCATTGAATAATTTCCTTAGACTTTGCTAGCCCTCAATAATTTCCTTCTCAACAACTTTATTGATTGGGGATGAAAAGAATACATACTTAGCTTTATGACATTTTATCTACTCTTTTCCCTTGGACTGCTGCGAGTCGTCTGCACTTTTCGCAAATTATACCATGGAACATGATTTATCTTGCGTTGTGAATCTTAATTAAAAAAATAACATTCAAATTATATACATGCAGTTGACACATTCTATAATTATCCATTTTTGTACCTATAAACAAATTGAAGGCCCACCACAAAGTACTGTCAAAGTGGGCCAAGTCCGTGGGTTGGCCTGCACCCGCCGCGTGGTGGGGCGATTTAGGGTCATAGAAAAGTAATTAAGCACGCGAAAATGTGGGCCTAACAGGCCTGGTTCGCATCAACAAATGCACGGGCTACGGGTTAGGCCGTGGGCTAGAACATAAGAAGGAAAATCATGCACCTAAAGCTTTAAACCAACACACTTAAGCTTTTAACACCTGACGCACCTTAAGTCACACAGTACAAAAAAAACTCATCTTAAGCACAAAAACTACACACCTAAAGAAGGAAATTAAAACCAAGCACTACACCTTAAATTTGACCTAAATAAAAAAAAATCCAAATTGCTATTGCACGTTTTTTTAATCACTGTTAATCTTCAACGTCGATTTAAGCAAGATCAATAGTTCAGTTTTACCCGCACAATCGCATGGGAACCCATTTCGATCATATATAATATATTTCATAAGCCATTGATTTCCAGTTTGTTATTGCATTCATATATATATATATATATATATATATATATATATATATATATATATATATATATATATATGTGTGTGTGTGTGTGTGTGTGTGTGTGTGTGTGTGTGTGTGTGTGTGTGTGTGTGTGTGTGTGTGTGTGTGTGTGTGTGAATATGCCATATTAGTTTTAGGTTGGTTAAGTTGATACATAATGAGTTTGGTATATATTTATTGACTTATTTTTAGATTTTAAAGTTGGATTGTAAATTCACAATGTTAGTATTTTTATTCTTGTTATTTTTTAATTTTTTTTTACATGATTTCACGTGAATTCAAAAAAAAAAAAAAACAAAAAAAAAAAAAAAACAAAAGTTCGCGGCCCGCCAACCCGTGTGAGGTGAGGTAGGGTTGCATGAATCCTAATTCGCAAAAGCCTGCCAGAAATTAGGCTCGCGATGTGGGGAACCGGTCCGCTTTATAGTACTAACACCGCATGGTAATTACAAACACATAACATGATAACTATATACATAACATGACTTTACTAAAAACTGGTTGAAAAATATCATTACAAAAAATCAAAGGTTACCTAAAGTCCTAAACCAATTAAACCGGTTGAAACTAGAAAAATAACAAAATTAAAGAAAAATATGAAGAGAAAAAAATGTCTTACTAAAAATAGAAAAAGTCATGAGAATGACTAAAAGTGTCCAAAAAATAATAGTCTGGGATGTTAAATGGCAAAAGCGATAGTCTGGGACTAAATTTGAAATTACCACCAAAGACAAGGGACCTCTGATGAAATTATCTCTCTCTCTCTCTCTCTCTCTCTCTCTCTCTCTATATATATATATATATATATATATATATATATATATATATATATATATATATATATATATAAATTTATATTTGTAGAATTCATATTATATTAAAAATATTGTTGATAATTTGAGTAATAATTATGGTATGATTAAAATTATTATATTAAAAATTTTAGATTAAACGTATTTGTTACTAAAAATCTTATGGTCGAGCGGCATAACTATGACTTTCTCAAATGAGATGTCTCAAGTTTGAACCTTATTGTGGGGGTACCCCTTGTAACAAAATCTAGATTTATATGTGACAGTTTATTTTTAGTCTTTTTTTTTTTTTTTTTTTTTGAGAACATACATCTCATTTGGTCCTAGTATTATTATGGCCTACATGACCCATTTTGGTTCTACGTCAAGAAAATTGATGAAATGACATTAAATACATGAACATTTTGATTTTAAATACAAAATAGGATGGCAAACTATATTTTAATTTTAATTTTTTTAAAAAATCCCTAATTGAAGACCGAAATATTATTGTATTTAACAGTATTTAAACAATTTTATTAACAAAGGATAAAAATAGTCATGTCATAATAATAATAGTATAATACTAGAATCAAATAAAAATATTTAAAAAAAATAAATTAAATATAAACTATTATTATATTTATAAATTTAAGACAGAAATGAAATTAACTCTAACATCGTTATTCGTTAGTTAAACGGTTAAATATGTTGTTGTGGATAAGTTACATGAGAATAATAATGTGGCTGTCAAATGACTAATTTTTTATTCTAATGTTCCAAACTTAAAAGTAGGAAAGAGAAGAGCAATAACTTATATGATCACTAAAATATTTGAATCCAACAATAAAGTAATAAATGTAGACAATAATAAACATAACAATTGAAATCAAAACAGATAATAAAGGTCAAATAGGCCATCGAATCGCACATAATAATGCAATTAGACCATTGAACTTGAAAAAGCTACAATTGAGTCCCTAAACTAACCCATTTCAAACAATTTGTCCAATTTACAGGTTTTCTCCATTTTTAACAGGTCACCTAAATTTAAAATGGTTTGGCCAATTAGTCAAATCGTTTGAAATGAGTTAGTTTAGGGACTTAATTGTTGCTTTTTTTTTTTTTTTTTTTTTTTTTTTTTTTTTTTTTTTTTTAGTTCAATGGCCTAATTGCATTATCATGTGTGGTTCGATGACCTATTTGACCCTTATTCTTTTTTTTTTTTTTTTTTTGGTATGAGAACCCGACCTAAATATATACTCATACGAAATTTTCATGTTTTATTTTCTCTATCCTTCTGTCATTTTTACTTGGACCACTTCTTTTATCCACAAATTTAATGCGGGTGGCTAAGATTGCATGCGCAACAGCTAGGAAATTTCCCATCTTTTAAGTCGTACTTATTTTTTTCTTTCCAAAAGGTTGGACTGCAACCCCCACACTTTGACCCGATAGAGTATTTGGGATGATGTAAATCATGATAACTCAATTATTGAACATGAACCACAAAGACTAGACATTTGCTTACTGCGCACAAAGAGCCCGGTACACTTAAATTTTGATAAATATTGATTATTTATCAATATTAGTATATTTGAATATATTTAAAATATTTTGGATAATATTGATATTATCTAATTTGTTTAATTAGATAATATCAAAAGAGTTTGAGCTTATCAAAACTCTTTTATCCTACAACTATAAATAGGAGCTCTCATTTCTATGTAATCACACATCCTAGGAAAAATCATAGAAAGAACTCTGAAGCTTATTCAGAGATCACAATAAAAATGTGATCCTAAAAGTAAAAGTCCCTCCTCCTCCATATGTTGATCCAAACCTCTATTGAAGATCAAGTCATTTGAATCCAAGGCCCTTCAAGAAGAACAAGAGGATCATCCAGAGACTTGTACCCACACCGCATTGATACTCAATGTAACTAGAATTTTGAATTTCTAAATATAATTCAATTTTCTTTGTTTACAAATTGGCACGCCCAGTGGGACAGCTCTGCCTCTCATCTCTTTATAGGCACTTTCAACCGGTATGAGGGCAAACCCCATATGAAATTTGAAATGGAGAAGGCTAAATGATACTCCTTGGCACAAGTTGAAATGCCTCATAGCTTTCAAGGCTCCTTGGCACGAGTTGAAACGACCTTATATCTTTAAGTTGTAGTGTCGAGACTTTCTTGCACTACATATTTTCGAGTGTTATATGCTCTCAAGTGGCGTACAAGCAAGTCTCGAGGGGGCATTTGTAGACACTTAAATTTTAATAAATATTGATTATTTATTAATTAGTATATTTGAATATATTTAAAATATTTTGGATAATATTGATATTATCTAATTTGTTTAATTAGATAATATCAAAAGAGTTTGAGCTTATCAAAACTCTTTTATCCTACCGCTATAAATAGGAGCTCTCATTTCTATGTAATCACACATCCTAAGAAAAATCATAGAAAGAACTCTGCTCTCATTTCTATGTAATCACACATCCTAAGAAAAATCATAGAAAGAACTCTGAAGCTTATTCGGAGATCACACTAAAAATGTGATCCTGAAAGTAAAAGCCCATCCTCATCCATATGTTGATCCAAACCTCTATTGAAGATCAAGCCATTTGAACCCGGAGGCCCTTCAAGAAGAACAAGGTATATATACAAGCCCTTATTTGAAGATCAAGCCACTTGAAACCCGCATGCCCTTCAATAGTGGAGTGTTCAAGACATCAATTGAAGAATCAGAGGACCATCCAGAGACTTGTACCCACACCGCATTGATACTCAATGTAACTAGAATGTTCACATGCCCCACATTTTGAGAGGTTGCTCCCACACTGTCACGGATGAGACTCGATCTTAATCATTTTTTCTAACTTTCACCTCTAATGACCAGTTGAGTTGCCCATACGGGCATCATACTTATTTTCTTTCGAATGCGGTTGGCTAAGATTACATGCGCAACAGCTACGAAATTTCCCATCTTTTAAGTCATACTTATTTTATTTCCTCTTTCCCCTTGAGCTTTCTTTCGTACTTTTACATCTATAAATTCGATCAGTTGCTGCCCACCACACACTAAGTAGCTTCTTCTCTCTTCACCACTCATCTTTTATAGATTTCCTTTTGCTCACTTCCTAAGTCTGTCTATGTCCAGCTCCACAATCAACCTTGAACCTTTCGCTTGGGAATACGATGTGTTCTTGAGCTTCAGAGGTGAAGACACACGCAAAACATTTACTGATCATCTTTATTCTGCATTATGTAATGCAGGTATTCGAACATACAGAGACAAAGAGGAGCTCAGAAAGGGCGAATCTCTAGCGCTTGAACTCATGAGAGCAATCCAAAGTTCAAGAATCTCTATTATAGTCTTCTCGAAAAAATATGCTTTGTCTAGGTGGTGCCTTGACGAACTGGTTCAAATCCTCGAGTGCAAGGAGAAGGGAAAACAATTAGTCTTTCCTATTTTTTATGACGTTAAGCCTTCCGATGTGCGTATTCAAAGTGAAAGGTACAACATGGCCTTGGCAAATCATGAAGAACGTTTTGGGGGAAGTGATAAGGTACAAAAATGGAGAGATGCACTCACTAAAGTTGCAAATATGTCAGGATGGGATTTGCAAGGCACTGCTAATGGGTATTGCTCTTTTATTATTCTGGTTGAATTATTATTATTATTATTATTATTATTATATATATATATATATATATATATATATATATATATATAATATATATATATATATATATATATATATATGGGCACACTCCCATGTGAGTTGCCGCCCATGAGAGAAATGAGAACCATTCAGCGTGGTTCACGTGTCCCGATGAATTACATGTAATTTTAAAAAAACGACGCGATGACATTTTTGTAAATAACTCGAACTTTGGTGAATGCAAATGTATTATAAGTTCAAGTAGCTAGTGTACCTTTGCAAGTAAAAAGTGCAAGTAAAATCTCTTACAAGTACACCTACATTCACTTACAAGTGCATGTAATTTTACCTTATTAACATTCATGCACCTAGGTACAACTACTTATAACTATAGGTGCACATAGTTTTGATGCTCAGTGTAAATTTTACTTGCACCTGTAATACATTTTACCTGCACTTATAATACATTTTACATACACTGAGGTGCACTATATGAAACTGCTACTTGCACTTGTAATACATTTTACTTGCACGTCGATGTTCAATTATTTATGAAAATGTCACCGCGTTTTTAAACAAAATCAGTGTTTCTCATCCCTTGGATCTGGACATGTGGACAACGTTGAATGGTTCTCACTTCTCTTCGGGCGGGCAGCTCGTTGATATATATATATATATATATATATATATATATATATATATATATATATATATATATATATATATATATATATATATATATATATATATATATATATATATAGAATCGCACTCAGGTGCGAATGCTCCGCCCAGGCACGAAATAAGAATCGATTCTGTCCATCCACGTGTCCAGATCTAATGGATGAGAAACACTGATTTTTTTAAAAAATGCGGTGGCATTTTCGTAAATAATTGAACATCGAAGTGCAAGTAAAATGTATTACAAGCGCATGTAAAATGTATTATAGGTGCAAGTAAAAATTTACTCTGAGCATCAATACGTAGTTGCACCTATAGTTCTAAGTAGTTGCATCTATAGTTCTAACTAGTTGCACACATAGTTATAAGTAGTTGCACCTAGGTGTATGAATGTTTGCGAGTGGTTTTCAGGGGTATTACTACCCGCTGAACTCAGATCAATGAATGTGAACAAGGAAAAATTACATGCACTTATAGGTGAAAGTAGGTGCATCTATAGTTATAAGTAGTTGCACCTATAATTATAAATAGTTGCACCTATAGTTATAAACACACCCAGGTGCATGAATGTTTGCGGAAAGTGAATGCTAACAAGGCAAAATTACATGCACTTATAGGTGAAAGTAGGTGCACTTGTAAGTGATTTTACTTGCACTTCGATGTTCAATTATTTACGAAAATGCCACCGTGTTTTTTTTTTAATTTATTAGATCTGGACACATGTCGTGCGCTGATTCGTTCGCATTTCCTTCCTGGGCACTTATTCGCACCTGAGTGCATCCATATATATATATATATATATATATATATATATATATATATATATATATATATATATATATATATATATATATATATATATATATATATATATATATATATATATATATATATATATATATATATATCAACGAACTGCCCGCCCAGGAGAGAAGTGAGAACCATTCAGCTCCGTCCACGTATCCAGATCAACAAATCAGATGTAATTTTTAAAAAACGACACGGTTACATTTTCGTAAATAACTCGAACTTTGGTGCAAGTAAATGTGTCATAAGGGCATCCCCAATAGGGGGATTTTACTAAATTTTGGAATAATAAAATCTTGTCTAACAAACTTTTAACAAATGGGGGTGTTGCATTTTGGAGAAAATTTTCTCCTACAACACCCCCCATTTTGTCAGCCATGTGTCAGAATTAAAAAAAAAAAAAGGGTTGTCTAGTGGCCCGCTTGGGCCATTGAGATTTGAGAGTGGCCGCCACTCTCAATTGAAGTCTTTTTGTTTTATTTTGCTGGCCGTTGCATTTGCAACGGCCAGCTTTTGTGTTTTTTTTTTTTTTTTTTTTTTTTTAATTTTTTTTTAGTTTTTAATTTTTAATTTAACTTGTTAATATTTTTGTTTTTATTTTTTAGTTATTAATTTTATTTTATTTAATTTTAAGTTATTATTGTTATTAAATTTATATTTATTAATTAAATTAAAATTTTTTATCATCAATAATAATATTATTAAATTTATAATTGTTAATAATATTTTTATCAAATTTATAATTATAATTTTTAGAATGATAATAAATAAAGAAATAATTAAAATAGGGAGATAAAATGGTGGGTCCATAAAAAGTTGTGAAAATTTTAAAACTAATGGGAAGAAGAGATTTTGTGATTGAGTGAGATAGTGGATGATGAGGTGGATGTTGGGGTCCACAAAAATTTGGGGTAAAATCCCCAACTATTGAGGATGCCCTAAGTGCAAGTAGCTGGTGCACTTTTGCAAGTAAAAAGTGCAAGTAAAATCACTTAGATGTGCAAGTAATTTTACATTGTTAACATTCGTGCACCTAGGTGTAACTACTTATAACATTAGGTGTACCTAGTTATAATGTTTGGTGCACTTAATATTGATGCTCAGTGTAAATTTTACTTGCACCTGTAATACAATTTACATGCACTATATGAAACTGCTACTTGCACTTGGGATACATGTTACTTGCACTTCGATGTTCAATTATTTACGAAAATATCACCTCATTTTTTTTTAAATCAGTGTTTTTCATCCATTAGATCTGAACACGTGGATGGATGACATGCATTCTCATTTCTTCGCACCTGAACACAGCTATATATATATATATATATATATATATATATATATATATATATATATATATATATATATATATATATATATAATTTCTTTTAAAAGAATGATTTTTTTTTTTTGAAAACAATCATCAAAGTAAAATATTATTGCAAAACAAGTCACAAATACAATGAGGAAAATCTGCCTCCCACACTTCCCGACCATCTAGTGAGCAAGATGCTCTGGCCAGAGAGTGAGCAATCATATTGACGGTTCTAGAGATATGAAAAGCTCTAAGTGACATCATGGCACTAATAATAGTTAAGCACTAATTTATAAAAGACCTGGTGTATTTAAGATCCACCCTTCAGCTCTAGAGCGCCTGGCAGACATTCAAGAAATCGCTCTCAAGGTGAACTGCAACAACCCCCAATTCTTTAGCCATGATAGGGCCTCTTTACACACTATTGTCTCGGCGAAGAACACATCCTGAGGACATGATATAGGATCGCTGCATCCTGCTACATAATTTCCTTTTTGGTCAAACAACACTGCCCCAAACCCAACTTTGTCAAGCTCTGGGAAAAGCGCAGCATCTACCTGACACCTCACACAGTTAGCAAGTTCCCTCAACGACTGATGAACAGAGCCGGCGGCACCACCTCCCACATGGGTTTCCATAAAAGCCATCCAATTTTAGAGTTGTGCCTGAGCAAAAATTCTAACATTGACAGCATCATAAACCACTCCCACACATATTTGAAGATGTTCTAGAACCACACCTTAAAGCAATCCACTACATTAATCTCATCAACCCCCTCAAAACCCTCCCAAACTGGCCTACTCAGACAACATTGTAGAAAAATATGCAACATATCCTCTCCATCCTCCAAACATACCAGACATTCAGGCTCCGTCTCAACCCTCTTCTCTCTCAAAGATAGCCTAGTAGGTAGCACAGTTTAAGCCAGACGCCATAGGAAAACACGAAGCTTCGGCGGAGCCTTTAACCCATAGACTTTAAACCACTGGCTAAAACCATACTGCGTACGCTGAGCTTGCACCTCCCCTAACTTGCCATAGGTCACTAAGGAGTTTATTTATGTCCATGCAGCTAGCACGCTGTTCCAGCGATAGCTTGGGTTACTTCCCAATTTGGCATCAAGGAAGGATAACTTAGCAAAGTATCGAGCTTATACACCTTGGCCACAAGTGAATTTGGCAAAGTGAGAAAACATCAACCCTACTTAGCCAACAATGCAATGCTATATAGGTGGAGATGCCTAAAACCCATCCCCCCCCCCCCAAGTCATGCAAAGATTCGATAGATCTCCCTATTAAGTTCGTGAACTATTTTTGGGCTGACCTTCTTAGGGTTGAAAAGAAAGGCCTACACAATTACCTCTATGGATCTCATTAGCATCATAGTGGGTTGGTAGGTCAAGATATGTTCCTAGGTGTCCCCTACCTTGTCGACTGTCGAACCATTAGATGCTAGGTGGTTTGAAATTAACAGGGAGGGGTTCTCTCATAATCCTCGGTGTGAAGGGCAGTGTGATATTTTCGGGATTGCCGATAAATTACCTCGTTCCTTCCACCGAATCAACTCAATTTTAGAATTAGTCTCGTCAACCCATCCCTCAAGAAGGGCTATCTGAGTCTCGCAGTGCACATTGACAACTTGCGGTCTCCTAATGGTCGGCCACATCAATACTTTAGCCCATCACTTCCTCGAGGGTGGGCTCCGACTCCTCCCTCGAGGATCCACTCATCTTTCCCCTATCCACGGGTCAGGCTCTCTATGCTAGGGCCATGTCCCTAGTGGTGCCCTCTTCCTAGCCTGCGAAGTGTTGAGCCTGTGGGAAGAGGGTTTGCTTGAGTGTTCGGGATAACGACCTTTTGCTCGACCGGGCTTGTAACGCCCCACTTTTCTTAATCTTAATTACAACTCTAAAACCAAAATTAATATAAACTAAGCAGCGGATAAATGACTTAAATAATAAACTAGTGGGAATGTCACCGCCACAATCACTTCTCCATGTTGATTGCACAGGCTAAGGATTGAACTAAATCATTAAGTCAAACTAACATTTAAATTGCTTAAATTAAAGTCACTTGGGGAAAAACACCCCGATGTCTATCATTAAACATACATAGCATAAGTCTACAATCCATCAAATAAACATCATAATAAATAATAAGAGTTTAGACTACT